TCTTGGATAGGTAGGCTCAACATAGTAAAAATGGCAATCTTGCCAAAAGTAGTCTACAGAGTCAATGCAATCCCCATCAAAATCCCAACTCAGTTCTTCACAGAACTTGAAAGAAAAATACTCAACTTTATAAGGAAAAACAAAAGACCCAGGATAGCCAAGACAACTCTGTACAATAAAGGATCTTCTGTGACATCACCATCCCTGACTTCAAGCTCTATTATAGAGCCATAGTTCTGAAAACAGCTTGGTGATTGGCACAAAAATAGACAGATAGACCAATGGAATGGAATTGAAAACCCTGATATTAACCCACACACCTACGAACACCTTATTTTTTACAAAGATGCTAAATCTATACAATGGAAGAAAGATAGCATCTTCAACAAATGGTGCTGGCACAACTGGATTCAGACATGCAGAATATTGCAGATAGATCCATATCTGTCACCATGCACAAAACTTAAGGGCAAATGGATCAAAGATCTCACCATAAATCCAGCCCACTGAATCTTCTAGAAGAGAAAGTGGGAGATACCCTTGAGCGAATTGGCACAGGAGACTGCTTCCTGAATATTATACCAGTAGCACAGGCATTGAGATCTTCAATTAATTTATGGGACCTCCTGAAACTGAGAAGCTTCTGTAAGGCAAAGGACAAAGCCAGTAAGACAAAACAAGAGCTCACAGAATGGGAAAAGATCTTCACTGACCCCATGTCTGACAGAGGGCTGATCTCCAAAATATTCAATGAACTCAAGAAGCTAGCCACCAAAACACCAAACAATGAAATTAAAAAGTGGGGTACAGAACTAAATAGCGAATTCTCAAAAGAGGAATCTGAAATGGCTGAAAGACACTTAAGAAAGTGCTCAAAATCCTTGGCCATCAGAGAAATGCAACTCAAGACAACTCTGAGATACTACCTCACACCTGTCAGAATGGCTAAAATCAAAAATACCAATGACAATCTATACTGGAGAGGATGTGGAGAAAAACTGAACACTCCTCCATTGTTGGTGGGAGTGCAAATATGTAAGACCACTCTGGAAATCAGTATGGCGGTTGCTCAGAAAAATGGGAATCAGTCTATGTCAAGATGCAGCAATTCCTCTCTTGGGTATATACCCAAATAATGCACATTCATACAACAAGGACATATGTTCAGCCATGTTCATAGCAGCATTGTTTGTAATAGCCAGAACCTGGAAGCAACCTAGATGCCCCTCAACTGAACAATGGATAGAGAAAATGTGGTACATTTATACAATGGAGTACTACTCAGGAGAAAGAAGCAATGGAATCTTGAAATTCGCAGGCAAATGGATGGAACTAGAAGAAACCATCCTGAGTGAGGTAACCCAGTCACAAAAAGACAAACATGGTATGTACTCACTCATATATGAATTTTAGACATAGAGTAAAGGATTACCAGCCTATAATCCACTTCACCAAAGAAACTAGAAAACATGAAGGACTCTAAGTGATAAATGCATGGACCCCAGGAATGGGAAGGGGCAGGAACTCCTGAGTTAATTGGGAGCATGAGGGTAGGGGAGAGGGAGCTACCAGAATGAGAAAAGGAGAAGAGTGGAGAGGAGGAAATGGAGAAGCAGAAATGTTGAGTTGGGGGAAGAATAGAGGAGAGAAGGATGAGAGATACCATATTAGAGGGAGCCATTACAAGTCCGAGGAAAGATCTGGCACTAGGGAGATTTCCAGAGACCTATAAGGATGACACGAACTGACAATCCAGGCAATGGTGGAGAGGATAACCTAAATGCCCTTTCCCTAAAATGAGATTGGTGACTACTTTTTAATGCCATCCTAGAGCCCTCATCCAGTGGCTGATGGAAGCAGAGGCAGACATCCACAGATATACACTGAAATGAACTCTGGAACTTAGTTGCAGAGGGAGGAATGAAGATCAAAGGGGTCAATACCAGGCTGGTGAAACCCACAGAAACAGCTGGCCTGATCAAGGGGGAGCACATCAACCCCAGACAGCTGTCTGGGAGGCCAGCACGGGACTGATCCCTTGTAGTGGATTAGTATTTTTCCCTGGTATAAGAAGGGACTTTGAGAACCCATCCCACACGAAGGGATGCACTCTTGCCCTGGACACATGGGGAAGGGCCTAGGCCCAGCCCAGGATGATGTGGTGTACTTTGCAGAGGCCCCATTGAGGGCCCTACCCTGCATGGAGAGTAGAGAGTGGATGGGGTAGGGGATAGGCTGGGGGTGGGAGAGGAGGGGAGTGGGTGAGGGGAGGGGAGGGAGAGGGAGAAGGGATTGACATGAGAAACAAGCTTGTTCCTAATTTGAACTAATAAAAAAAATTTAAAAAAAAATATGAGTTCTGGGAACTGAACTTGGGGTCTTAAATTATAGAGAATTATAGAGAGGATGTGTGTGTGTGTGTGTGTGTGTGTGTGTGTGTGTGTGTGTGTGTGTGTGTGTCTATATATCAGTTGGCCAGTGTATTATGTGTAGCTTAAGAAAACAGAATCTCACTGGGGATGGGGTGGGGATAGTCAGAATGAGTGAAAAGATAGAAAAGGCTTCATCCAGATGATGGAGACAAAGCAGGAGTGGGAAGCTTTCTAGAGCCAAGGAAAGCAAGCACATCCTCAAAAGGAAGGCCAGTAAGCAGTGTCCAAGAAAAACAAGGACTGATATACTCTTTCTTCAGTCTACGGTGAGAGCGAAGATCATTCCTGTGGACTGGGCTAGATGTCCCAGAAAATGTCAGCACTACGCTGAAGGAGTGCAGATAGCATGAAGGGCCCCAGAGGAACTGTGAAGGGAAATGTTCAGTGCAGAATTCAGCCTCCTTGTTGAAAGAAGAAAGGTTTTCAAATTCACAACAGTGCAGAAACAGACAGGAATTGGCCCTTGTTAGCACTATCTGAAGCAATAAAGAGAACATGATCAAGTGTTATGCTGAACAACTTATACAGGAGAGGTTCTGTGCAGACTCACTTTCCCATCCATGTCATAATTCTTGCTGAAACCAGTAATTTACTGCATGAAAAATACATCTGGATGGCTTGTATAATGTTACATATTGTCTGTCCAGTTTTGGGGAGTCTAAGAATATGCTATCTGTCTCTTTACTTCATTAAGAATTTCCTTTGTTGGATGGATGCTTTTTAATTTCATGAGGTCCTATTTGCTGGTCATTGGCCTTATTTTATGAAACACTGGTATCCTATTAAAAAGTCCTTGGCTATGCCTGTATCTTGACATGTTTTCTCTCTTTTTTCCCCCTTTAGCAATTTCAGAGTTTCAGGTCTGTCATTAAAGTCTGATTCATTTGAAGTTAATTTTTGTGCAAGGTGGAAGACAAGGATCTCGTTCCATTCTTCTACAAGTGGATATCCAATTTCCTTAATGCCATCTGTTAAAGAAGCAGCTGCCTTCTTTTGTCATCTGTATCAAAATCAGGTGGCTGTTGCTGCATGGATTTATGCCTGAATCTTCTATTCTCTTCCACTGATCTACATATCAAGAAAGATGAATTCTTGGAAGGAAATGGCATTGAACTTATATCAAGTCCAACTTCTTAGATTATGTAAGTCAGAGACATTTAAAACAGGAATATCAGGGGGTAAATGGATGGGCGTTTATGGCATGGAGAAAAAAGGCAGAATTTATCAGGCTGAAGAATAAGATGTAATAAGGAATTTATAAGGAATAAGATTTTATCCAGCTATGAGGTCAAGATGATGAATGATGCCTCAGAAATATTTGTGATCCTTTAAAGATAAGATAATATGAGGAAGGGAAGAAGGGAGGGATGGCAGGAGGGAAGATGGGAGGTGAGGATGAAGGGAGGGGGAGGGATAAAGGGAGGGGTGAAGGGAGGAGGGAGGGAGAGGAAAGAAATAAGGTTGGCTAAAAAGAAACCATTGATTTTCCCAATGTGGTTCTCTAGCAGCCACTTAATGAGCCATTTCTGTATAGTGGTTGAGGCAAAAATCACAGGGGAAAATCAGCAAAAGTAAATAAATAAATAACAAAGATAATGACTTTAGCCTTATCTTATGGTTTCTGCCTAGTGAGCTAAACCACAAATTTCCTTTTTAACGAAGGTATGACCTAACCCACAACTTTTAACTCCTGTACCAAATATTCCATACAGTAAGGGGTATGAATATCTGAATGTCTAAGGATAGAGGATTTTACAACTACAAAATTTCTCACATTTTAACTTAATCATCCTTCTCGATTTGTGTTGGTAGGGATGTGAAAATAGTAGTCTTCTTCTCCCCACCCTCCCCAAAAGAAAATCCTCTAAGGACAACTTACACTCATGAAGGAAAACAAACTGGCAGTGAGGCTTGTGAAGGTTTCTATCTTAAGATGCCAGAAGTGAGTCCAAGTCCTGTAGAAGAAAATGAGCATTTATTAAAATTACTCCTTGGAGTTAATGCAACAGTTTACCATTTAAAGTGACATAAAGAACAGGAAGGAACCAGGCTGAGGAGATGGCTAAGTCGGTAAAGTGTTGGTCACTGAATCATAAAGAGCTGATTTCGAATTCCCAGAACTTATACAAAAAGGTGGGAGTAGTGGCAAATGCCTATAACCCCAGTGCAGTCCTGAGAGAGACAAGAGGATTTCTGGGACACTGTGACCAACCAGTCTAGCTGAATCAGAAACCTCCAAGTACACTGGGCAACCTGTCTCCAAAATAAGGTATAATACAATTGACAAAGATATCTGATGTCGCTCTCTGGTTTACACATGCACTTGCACATTTAATACCTACACCCACACACATGTGCACTCACAAGACACACACACACACACACACACACACACATGTGCACTCCCACACACACACATGTGCACTCCCACACAAGAATACAAACACACAAAAAAGGAAAGAAGAAAAACGAAGAAAGGCAGTGCTGACCTGGAGAATATACTCCAGATTAAGTACAGAATCCAAATACTGTTCCTGGCTCACTACAAGCTGGTAGCACAAGTTTTGACAAGTGAATGAAAGACTGTGAACTCACTTTCCACCTCTGTGAATAAATTGATTCACATTTTTATTGCATTCCTTTCCTATTCTAGTTTTCTTCTTTCTGCCAATGAAAATGTTAAAATGGGATGAAAAGGAAGAGAGGTAGCGAGGTAAACATGCTTTGAGACCCACTGCTAAGTCCAACTAGCTTCACGAGTTTTGAACTATGTTCAAAGAGTAGCAATTTCCCTATAAGAACACAGTTCCCAGGCTACTTTCGTCGACTATAAATTTTCATGAAAATAGGTCTCTATCCAGAAGTCATTTCCTGGAAGAAAATTGGAATCAAAACAAACCAAACAGAATAGTTTCTACTTTTTTAACATGTAAAATCTTCTCAAACTTTAGACACAATATGTTTTTATTCAGTTGAACTTTATCAACTATTACTAATTTATTTTTATGGAAAACATAAAAGCAAATGGGATGTAATTTCTGTCTTAAAAGATCCCATTATAAAGAAGAGATATGTATTCATAGGAAGAGTAAAATCAAATAAATGTCCATGTTAATGGATTGATCATCTATGGCTGGGGTCTTCTGATGGAAGAGGCAACAGGAGGCAGCATTCTTTCCTTGGTCCTATAAAATAGTCCCATTTTTTATTAAAAATATAACTTCTTGTTGGTGAAACACTGTAATTTTAAAAGGAGACGTGTAAGTACAGACAATTGAAAACAAAGTGCTTTAAAATAATAGGAAGTCTATAAGTTTAGATGTTTTGAAATAGTCGTTTTCAACTTAATGAAACTTGTCCTTGTGTTTATTAAAATAATGATGAAGACACTGGTCAGTGTCCTCTCTTTCAGAACTCTGAGAATAAATTGATGTTCAGGTATAGCAGAAAAAAGCAGTGTTTTTTCTTATAAATACCATCTATCTTAATATTATATAAAATTCAGATTGCTAATAAGCCATGTTTCCTTTGGGGATTGCATACAAAAAAAGGATCCCCTTATAATCATATCATCTTGGATCAAAGAATCAAATATAAAGTTCTCAATGGCATAAATATGCTTTCTGTAGTAAGACAAAGAATAAATTAACTAGTATTTGTAAAACATTTTTAGAATTCCCAAGAAATGTCAAATACATCTTATTAAAAGTAAATAACAATTATTCTTATTATTTCAATATATGAAAGCCCCAAGCTCAACTAGTCACTAGAATTTTAAATATCTAGAATTTTAACACAAATTTTTATCCTAAATTTAGTGATTCTTTTTATTGCTCTTACTAAAAGAAAAAAGAAAAAAACACTTATTATCTTGTTCATATTTATATACCACGAAATACTTACAATTTTATTGAACACCTAATTTCAAGGAAGATCAACTTTTATTTAATTGGCTGTTTCATAGATCTTCAGTTCTCAGACACTTTAGGACTTTCCCAAGACCAGTCCATACAAATCATGAAGACAGAGTTCAAACCCAAAACACATTACCCCCAACACTGAGCCTTCTCTTCATTCTTTGTCCCAATAACGAACTGTGCTCTGAGGTAAACAGATGGTTTCTCTTCCTAAGCACCTTCACTTTGAGAGTTATGCTCAAGACCTAATACCCAAACTTCTTCTACATAAATAATTATGTATTTATTAAATGAAAATCTTTATTGCTTCACCATCATGCCTAAAGGAGTCAGAGATGAAGGCTCACTACCACTATTCCTGTTGCCTTTAGCTTTTTCCTACGAAACAAAAAGCAAAACAAAAAAAAGGAAAAAATCCAGACTTTTGGGGGGGGGTGTTGATTTGCCAAAATCTTAATCTTCCTTCTAATATGTGCCCTTTCTCAAAATAATGACCTGGAAAAAAATTAAAACCACTGGATAAATTCTTTAGCCTTCCTATAAAACACCCACATAGATGTGCACATACAAAAAAAGCTTTTATTCTCTCCCCCATAGTTGTTTATAAGCACCTCTAGTTTTGTTTCCAAGTAGACTGCCCTGATGAGTCATAAAAGATTTCACAGGAGGATGAGTGTGAAGTAAGAGGAAATGCAGGGCTAATATGTCAATCCAACAAAGATAAATATCCCAGCAGCAGCACCATACTTCAAGAGAGGACTGTTGGCTATACAGCTCCTACCATGATAAATGTTATGACCAAATGTGAGGGCATTTCATAACCCCAGGTCTACCATGGATGATTGGTCCTTCTCTGATGGGGTCAATTGTGATAAATTGCCCTGTTGAACTCTCTATGAAATATGACATATCAGGCTACTTCAATACTCTCTGATGTGCTTGCACCAGTTATCCTGAAGGCATTTTCTGCTTAGAAGGATAAGATGGTACCAGGTATGACCTTCTTGTGTCCCTTCTTACTTCATTAGTGATGAAAAGGAGGAATGTAGGTTCACTTTCCTTGACATACTGTGGAAAGATTTTCTTCTAAAATGGCAAAAGGTAGAGGGCATTGTGTAGACAGGGCAAAAGAAGAAATAAGGCAGCCTGTTCAATTTCCTGCATCTTTTGTTAATCCCCCTAGGGTGGAGTCTCCATTCCATTTTTCTTTTTGTTATCATTCCTCATCTGTAGAAACTTGGGCAATCAATGAACTGAGGCTATATATTTCTCCAAGCAAACTGTCACTTATCCAGACCAAGAAAGAATAATGATTGTGTCCACAGTTACTCAAATGCCTTGCATTAAGGAAGAAAGCTTGAAAATGTGTGTATACTGATCCAGTTTTTTAGCCTTTCAAGGCTGATTTATGAGTGACAGCAATAATAAAAATGTATGCTACTGGCAGGAGAATGTCACAATAAACTCTCTCCAATTAATTCCCCTGTATGCACAAAGTACACGGCCATATTTGACACCTTGTCACAAAATGATTATACAATGTTGGAATTAACGCTGGACAAGTTATGGACTTCTCTGGGACCTGCATTCATGATCTGTGAAATGGTTAAGTGCATTTCCCCAAATGTCCTTCCATCCACTGCAAAGCTTCCTGAAGTTAGTGCAACAATATGCTTGAATGTGCTCAGATTCAGGAATCCATCTAAGTTAAAGACATGGATTCTTTACACATTAGCTTAGCAAACTGGAGTGGTATATTTCACGTCTTCTGTGAAATACAAGTGATCACAATAGTCTTCATCACCAGCATCTGAGGATTAAATATTGAAATATATGTAAAGTGCATACAGCAACTGGTGGAAAGCTATAAGTGCTCAGTAAGTGTTATTTATTAATGCCCTAGGTTAGTATGCCATTAATATATAGATTTTAAAAGGAAGCATTATCAAGCTGGGAAAAGCAGTGTAAGCCTATAACCCCAGAACTCAGCAGCTGAGACAGAAGGAGCTCCAACAGCATGGGAGCAGTCTGAGCTGTACAGAAAGACCTTCTCTCAAATAAATAAGTAAAGGAATAAACCTACCTATGCAATAAATGGTGTTCTATGTATAAAAATAATTGACAGTGTTCACTAACTCACCTTTGTCTATAATTGGGTTCCAACAAAAGAAAATTGCTACCAACAAGCAATAGGGAAAAACCATCAAGATATAGTATTTATCAATAATTTCCATCTTATTTGTCATCATATATTATCACAATTCACATAAGTGACAACACCATACATCCCTCCTTCCTTTTAATCAATCATAGACCCTCATACACACTCAGGCCTCAATAATATAGATCTCTTTGGAACCTACTGCCTAGTATTTCTGTGCTTTCTCCTTTTTTACCCCACAGAGTACAAAGACCCATGAGTTACATTCAGTAAAGTTTCACTGATGATGACTAAAGCTGTTCACGAAGATGAGAATAATGGACTTAGGTCAGTGAACTGCATCTGTATTTTTACAGTATGTATGTAAGCTGTACAGCTTTTGTTCATGGATTCATACAACCTACCTCAAATCAGGCCCAGAACAGGCTCTCCATTGGGACCCAAATACTGTTTGTAATACATCAAAGTCTCATCTAACTTCAAATTCAGGCAAAATTTCAATTACAATCTTGTGGTTAAATTAAACAATGTTCATTCTGGAAGGAAAGAATTACTTACATGGAGTATGTTGTTAATTACCTCCCTTTCTTAGAATTTTACCGTGGTCTACAGATACATTTATCCAATCATGCTTTTGTCATACCAGTTCTATTGAAGCTGTTTGCTAAACAGTCTCAAAGGCATCTTCCTGATCTAATGTCACATGAATTAATAAATGACCCAATGACAGATGTTGGGGTTTAAACTTCAAGCTGAAGGTCAGAAAAGCAAAGTAGCGGGTCACTGCCTCTTATGGCTACCTCAGGCTGAATAGGCTGATCCTGCTGCCTCTCAGTGGCTGGAGAATAAATGCCCCATATTGAGACCTTGCTCCTGT